CCCAGCTGCGACGCTCAGGGTCCCCAGCGCGCCGAGCAGCACCGAGGCAGGAGTCGCTAGGAGAGCTTCCACGTGCTAAACAGGAGAATGAAATCAGGGTGAGCTGGAAATGTTTTGTGAGTCACTGAAGTGAAATAACTAACTAACTGCCCGGCTCTGAACGAGGGCGGCAGCAGGTGCCGTTAGCAACCGGCGCTGCAAAGCCGTCCAGGTAATTGCCAAAAGCCATCACTCTTGGAGAGCTCATTTTCCAGCTGCAACCACGAGAAGCATTTCAGGAGGAAGAATTAGCACTTGGGGAAGGGTATTTCACAACCGAAAAATAAATAAGCCCGTGAAGAATTTGTTGCCCTTCTTTAGAGACTGTACCTGAAGACAAAAAAGATTTAACAATCATTAGATTTTACTGGAAAAGAGCCTGTGTGCCCCCGCCGCGCAGTGCAGTGAACGAGAGCAAAGACCCCGAAAGGAAGGCAAATCACTGACGGAAGCAGGGAGAGAAGGATGGGAGCCAGGACACCTCTGCCAGGCAGCACGTCCGTGCCCGTGCAGAGCCGTGCCCCCGGCAGCGCGGGAGCCGCCGGCCCGTCCTCCTCTGCTCTGCGGTCCAACACGACCGGCGGCAAATGGAGACGACAGGGTGGGCAGCGGCCAAGCAAACACCAGCGACCGTTCAGACTTGTCCAAGCACTTGGCCTTCAGTCCAACAGCCACTGCCAAGGCTGCATCCAACTCTTCAACTACAGCAGGTTCAAGAAAAGTAACAAAAATGCCCCAAAGAATTGCTGGAATGATAAACCAGGTGTAACCATCTTTCAGTTCAGTGGCTTCACAAACTTTTGTCTTTCCAAAGGACTTGAAATTATCCTAAATTTTCTCAAACTGAGCCCAGGATAATCTGCAAGCTTTCACCTGGTGGGGAAAGTGGTTCATATTCATAGCGAAACCACAAACCAGGAAAGTCAGGAAAGGGTTTGGTTTCACCGTGAACAGAGCTCCAAGGTTTAGGTTTTTCCTGTCTAAATTCCAATTGTCTGATGTGGGAATTGGCAAAATATTAAAAAAAACGCCCTGAGAGGGTTAATGCTTTTCCTGTTGACGGGCGATTCCTTCGCTAGCGGGAGCCACTCCCCACGCACAACTTTTGTGGAGACTGTCAAACAGAAAACAAAAAGTATTTTCTGGCTCACCACCTTGAACTATTCAAGCTGAGGCTTCCCTCACAGCAAGTAAACTCCACAGCACGGTTTCCTCCAGGCCTGCAGCCTCCGTCGGCGTCCTCCACGCGGCTGGCCGGCGCTGCCACCAGGGCTGAGACGCTCTGGCCGCGCCGAAGCCCTGCTGGGGTTTCAGGGTCTAACACGCTTGGATCCCAGCGAGCGCTCATTTTAAATTTCTGCCTCCGAGGATGGCACCGGGCCAGAAGAGCACTCAGAGGAGCGCTACCCAGGTGCTCCTGTGCAGCTTCGGGGATGACGAGTCTCTCTCCCTCGGAGCAGGAAGGCCGCTCGGGTGATATTACACTGTTGTCAGCCGCTGCAGGCTGAGAGCAAACCAAATTAACAACCCTGAGCAACAGGCAGATGTTTTGGAGGTGATACGCGTATGGCTGCAGGTGCGCGGGGGCCTGCAACGCACAAACAGGTTCGGTATCCTGCTACCTCCCTGCTCCCGAAGGTGCCGAGGTCCCACCATCCTGCCGGCACCCCTGAGCATCACCTCCATCCAGCTCAGAGCCAGAGCCCTTCCCAGCCACCCGCGCCCA